CTTCCCACCTCCACCCAGCCCTCCACTCCCTAGCCCAGCTACTGATCTACTTTCTGTCTCTATAGATTTGCCTATTCGGGACATTTCATTTAAATGGAATCATATAGCATATGGTCTTTTTTCTGTCACATAGCATATGTTTTTGAGGTTCATCTGTGTGAAGCAGGTACAGATAACAGATTTACCCATGAATATGTCTGTCGCCTAAAATAGTAACATTTTCACACCAGAAGCAATTTCCTTCTTTCTTCATGGAAAGGGACATTATTTCAACCTACTGTTTTTCTCCCATGCCTTATTCTTGTTTCTCAAGTAGATTGGAAGCTGGTTACAGTTTTATCATTCATAATTTTATACTTTTCTCCTCAGCTTCATCTGTTTCCATGGGAAGGAAAGCTCTATATTTAGTGAAATCCAATCAAAGAGACTAAAAGAGTCTTTCCTATGTGCATCCAATACATACTTCTCCTCTTGGGCTTGCAAGGTACATTTCAAGAAATAGCTATGCCTTGAATTTCCTCACTGTGGTAACAAGTGTTTCCCTATGGCGTGGCCCTTTGGGCAAAAGGGCAGAATGAACCCGTATTGCATGACTCTAAAATTGGTGAGTGGCAGACATCTCAGATGCTCTAGTGCCGTGGTCGGCAAACTGCGGCTCGCGAGCCATATGCGGCTCTTTGGCCCCTTGAGTGTGGCTCTTCCTAAGCCTTAGGAGTACCCTAATTAAGTGAATAACAATGTACCTACCTATATAGTTTAAGTTTAAAAAATTTGGCAAAAGAAATTTCAATCGTTGTACTGTTGATATTTGGCTCTGTTGACTAATGCTCCAGTGCAAGCATGTCAAACTCAAAGGCTAACAGGGGCCAAATAAACAAAGTGTAAGTTTATGTGGGCTGCAAAAAAAAAAAAAAGCTTCCATTTTCATAGAAACATAGGTTTATTTCTATAGAGACATGCTGAATACAAAGGGTTGAAATAAATGAGTCATTGTTAACATAAAATAATAGAACATTTTAATACAAATTAATACTTTTTCTTGAACATTAACTTACCAGACACTGAATAACTGCACAGATGAATAAGCATAACACAAATAAAGCTATTGTTCTCCGAAAGTGAAATATTTCCTGTTGCACACACCAAACAGGTCAATCCAAGACTAATGAAGTGGCCATCGGCTCTAAAATATTCGCTGCTGGTATTAGTGGAGAGAAATGGTGCACCTGCGTGTAAGGCGCTTAAGGGAAATGAATGCAACACGATTATAGTAGTCAGTCATTATCGGATGTTGTAGTTCATTATTAATAATTATGTATAACAGGATATTGCAAAAATTAAGTTATGAAATTTTTATTAAAACGTTTCTTACATACCGTTATATTGGCTGGGCTGCAAAAATATTTGTTGTGGGCTGCATGCGGCTGCGGGCCTCAAGTTGGCATGCTTGCTCTAGTGGAAACTCATAACCTGTGGAGGAATCTCAAAAACAGTCCCAGTAGGGAGAAAAATACAAAGCCGCATAATCTAAATCTTTTATTCTTTGTTTTCCTTTGAAGATCGGCCTGTTTTCTTTGCTTATTCCAACAATGTCTTTTATTATTATTATTATTATTTCCTCACTTTTTTTAGAGACAGAGAAGGAAAAACATCAACTTGTTTTTCCACTTATTTATGCATTCATTGGTTGTTTCTTATATGTGCCCTGACCGGGGATTAAATCCGAAACCTTGGCATATCAAGATGATGCTCTAACCAACTAAGCTACCCAACCAGAGCAAAGTTTTGCTTAGCTTCTGCTATTATAAGATATTGTAGTCAAACATGCTTTTGCTTTTGTTCGCCAGCTTTTGTGATTAATCATTTTGGGGACTACAGCACGTTGCTGCTCCCTTGCTGACAGCTCTTCCTGTCAAACGCTTGTTGTCCCTTCTCTCTCTGCTCATTTCCATAAGGACCTGGTGCCTCAGAACCCCAGGCTGCTTTCTAGAGAGGGGAGCTGGGAAGATGGAAAACTCCAGAAATCTGCCCAACCTCTGAGTGAACACAGGAAGTGGCTCAAAAACTAGGCCTCCTCGTAGGTCTTTCTCTCCACAGGTACACAGTGGCCGGACCTCCTTGACCTTTCCTTTTTGTTTTCTGCTTTGTTTCTGCAGGATGTGGAGCTCCTACAGGGCCCACCCCTAGACCAGATATTGCAAAGGCAACTGGACAGGTCCTGAGCTTCATTTGAACTCTGGGTTTGCTCAGTTGCAGCTGCATAGACCCTCTTCAGTAACAGACATGGCCTCTGGGCCAAATTGATTTGGTTATTAAGGAGACATTGTCAGTGATCACTCACCTCATCTTTGGTTCCCCCAAAAGAGGGTCTTGGCATAACTGATGTTTACCCAACTGACAGGGCCTTTCTGCATTTCAGCCATCCCAGCTTTTCTTGAAGATGGGGGTGGAGCTGCGTGCCTCCTGGATGAACAGTCAACAGTTAAACTGGTGCCAATTGCTCATCTACTGTGCAGTTTTGGGGGAGCAGCTGTGGGACTGAGGCTATGGGTTCATGTACACATTAACTGTGAGGAGTGTAGGGTACTACCAGCCCAGCTGGACTTTCCCCTGAGCTTCAGAACTTTCTAGCCAGCTGCCCACTCAACCCCAACACTTGGGTGTCCCTTTGGCCTCTCAAATGAAAGATCTCCACACCATTGCCCCCAAATCTCTGCTCCCCTGGAACCTTCTCCTTCCCCAGTAAATGGTAGCTCTGTTCTCTCAGTCACTCAGGCCTCAGGCGCTCATTTTTTTTTTTTTGCATCCACATCATCTGTTGGAAAATCCTATTGCTACCATCTTCCAAAGACAGTCACAATCCAGCCATTTCTCATTACCTTCATGCCACCACTTTGGGCCATGCCACCATCATCTCTCCCTGGCATGACTGCCAAGCACCCACCCACCTCAGGCTCTTTATAGTTCATTCTCTTATTCATTATTTTCCCACTCCCCACATTAGACTATAAATTCTATGAGGGCAGGTGTTTTTCCCATTTGATTTACTTATATCTCCAGCATCTAAAGCTGGGCCTAGAATATAGTAGATGCTCAATGAATATTAATAAATGAATGAATGCTTTGGGACCAGTCATTACCAGCTATCATTTATATCAATTTCTATAATTGTACAGGTGCTTAGATACACCTGTGGACAAGAAAGAGGTGGGACACAAAGGCCAGAACAAGTGGTGAATTCTACATGTGGGACAGAAAAATTCCTCTTCAGAGGGCAGACAAGTTGGGAGAGGAAGGCATTTGAGGCCAAATGCACAGAAGCAGGAAACTGCCTAGCACATTTGATGAATTGTAGATAGTACAGAGGGCAAAAGATAAATTTTTATATCTATTTTAAGAATGAGGATATGGAGACATGCAGTCATGCTACTAAGATGTGTCGGAGGTGGAACTCAGACCATGGCAGAGGGACCCACCAAAGGGTTTGTCAGGAAAGCGACAAAATCAGGTTTACATTCCATTCCATCAGCAGCGTGAAGAATAGATGAAGCAAAGTATCTTTTTATTTTTATTTTTTTAAAATATATTTTATTGATTTTTTACAGAGAGGAAGGGAGAGGGATAGAGAGTTAGAAACATTGATGCGAGAGAAACATCGATCAGCTGCCTCCTGCACACCCCCTACTGGGGATGTGCCCACAACCAAGGTACATGCCCTTGACCGGAATCGAACCTGGGACCTTTCAGTCCGCAGGCCAACGCTCTATCCACTGAGCCAAACTGGTTATGATGCAAAGTATCTTTTTAGCAAGGAGAGAATCCAGGGGAGAGAGGGAAGAGTCTGAAAGGGGAAGTAACGGGGTGGAGAGGAAAGAAGTCCCCTAGTAGACACTGGGTGTGAGTGGTTAGAAAAAAGAGGTGACTAGAGGAGTCCCAGGCTTCTGAATGGGGTAATAGGTAGATGGTGGAGCCATTCAGTAGGCTAAGAAATAAAGAACAATCTGAGGAAAGAGATAATGAGTTTGGTTTTTTAAAAAACTTTTTAAATATATAACCTACATACATTTATTTAAGTACAATAGACATATAAAGGAGTCCAGGTAAGTGTACAACTCAATGAATTTTTACCATGAGACACACCCAAGTAACTAGCACTCAGATCAAGAAACAGAACATTACCAGACACCCTTTCTGGGCTTCCTACATGCCACTCCCTACCCCAAGTGTGACCAGGACCCTATGTCTAGTGACATGGATTACTTTGGCCTGTTTTTGTGCATGCTAAATGGATTCATATGGTATGTTCACTTTAGCACCTGGCTTTACACTCAACATTGTGAGATGCAGCATATTGTGTGTAGATCATCCCTTTCATTGCAGTACAGTGTTCCACTGTGTGAATCTACCACAGGTATCCATTCTACTCTTGATGGGTATATAAGTGTTTCCAGTTTGGAGTTATTATAAATACTGCTGCTGTGAATAATCTAGTACATGTTTTTGCTTGTTGGAGAACATATATATGTATTTCTGGTGGGTAAATACTTGGGAGTGGAATTGCTGGTTCATAGGGCACATATATGACCAGCCTTGGTACAAATTACCAAGCCCTTTTTCAAAGAGGTTAGACCAACTTATACCCTGTTGGCACCATATGAGAGTTCAGGTTGCTCCATGACCTTGCCAACACTTGGTTGTAGCCAGTTCTACATAGGAAGAGAAATTTACATGGAGATGTCCAGTAAGCCATTCAATGCAAGTGTTGGAATCTTGGATTTAGCAACATTGATGGAGGCGGGGAGGAAGCAAAGCTCTCAAGAGAGACTGAGGAGGATTATTCAGAATGGTGCCAGAAGCTGTAGGACGATGGGAGGGACTGACAGCACCCAACATTGTACCACGAAGACATAAGCTCAGTGTTGAAAAGAGTCCATCGAATGTGAAAGCAAGAAGTCATTGGTGATTTTCTTTGCCAGCACAGGGCTTGGCCTCCTGCCAAGATGGTACTCCCTAACCTTCATTGCTACCTGAGAGGGCCAGTTCTGCCCATAGCAGGTAGGCCAAAGAGTCTCTAGGAATGAATAACGAGAGGACGAGGGCCCAGGAGAGATAGCAGTTTGGTGATGCAGGTAAGGGGTGGTCCTGAATCTGCCCAGGCTAAAAGATATGCCCCAGCTGGAGTGGCTCAGTGGTTGAGCATTGACCTACGAACCAGGAATTCACAGTTCAATTCCCGGTCAAGGCACATGCCCAGGTTATGGGCTCAAGCCCCAGTGTGGGGCGTGTGGAAGGCAGCTGATCAATGATTCTCTTTCATCATTGATGTTTCTTTCCCGTTCTCTCCCTCTCTCTTTCTCTCTGAAATCAATAAAAATATATTTTAAAAAAAGATATGCTCCTTTGACTCACACTGCAGCCCATGCATAACCTGGTAGACCATTCACCATGTGCATCATCCTGTAGGTGGTCTTCTCCTGGGTTCTCAAGCCCCTGTGGGCAGAGAGTGAGGCTTCCATTTTAGAAGGCACCTGGCACAGTGCCAGTCCCACAGTGGACACGCAAAAGGCGTTTGTGGAAAGGGTAAATATGTAGTATTTAAATAGAGGCACAACTTGAAGAGGAGTTTTATAATTGTGATGAAAAAGATGAGACCATTCCTTTACTCTGTAAACAATCTGAAAGCATTTGGGGGTAATCAGATCTGATTTTTAGATAGGAAAGTGGTTAAGGAGGGACTTTTATTTCCTGCTGTCTACACTCAGGTTTTGTTTGAGATTTATATATATAGGCATGTGTTGCTTTTATAATCAGAAAAGAAATGAAGGTGTTTGTTTTGTTGAAAATGAGAAGTGGCGCTTCGGCGCTTTAAACAAGTGCTGTATAATGGAATCTTCTGCGGCGATGGAAGTGCTTTGTACTTGTGCTGTCCAGCGCAGTAGCCACTAATGACACGTGGCCAGTCCGGTAAGCACTCGAAATGTGGCCAGTGTGACTGAGGAATTTAATTTTTAATTTTATTAATGTTAGTTAAGTTCAAGTCAAATAGCCACCAGAACCAATGGCTAGGGCAGTGATGGCGAACCTTTTGAGCTCGGCGTGTCAGCATTTTGAAAAACCCTAACTTAACTCTGGTGCCGTGTCACATATAGAAATTTTTGATATTTGCAACCATAGTAAAACAAAGACTTATATTTTTGATATTTATTTTTATATATTTAAATGCCATTTAACAAAGAAAAATCAACCAAAAAAAATGAATTCGCATGTCACCTCTGACATGCGTGTCATAGGTTCGCCATCACTGGGCTAGGGCATTGAATAGTACAGCTTTAAACAATCAGTTTAAGAAGGGGCTTTAACTTATATGTGACTTCATTTCACTTTTCCATGCAATGTATCATTTTGTTGAATTTCTTTTTTTTTTAACTTGATTTTTCCTCTCGTCCTCTTGCTCAGCCACGCTGGGATTATCATCTACTGAGGTATGTTACACTAAGAAGGCTGGGATTTACTGTTTTTGAGGCTTTTCCTAGCCAAAAATAATGCATAGAGGTATGAATTCTTTCAATGTACTTTTAAAGATTTTTTTTTCTGGTTATGGCAATAGCACATTTTATCTGAGCAAGTTCCATGTTTCATTGAGAGAATGCAAATAAACCATGTCTTAATTCAGATGGTGTAATTTTGAATCCAGTACCTTTTAAAATTGGATCCCCAAAACGGACATCCAGGGGATGTAAGGAGCCTGACCTTGGATTGGGTCACCCCAAACCCTTGAAGACAACTATAATGGGGTGAACGTTGCCCCTTACATGAGTGTGTCTGTGAGATTATTAACTGGTCACCAACAGTGCAGAAACTTGTTTATCTAGACCAGTGGTCGGCAAACTGCGGCTCGCGAGCCACATGCGGCTCTTTGGCCCCTTGAGTGAGGCTCTTCCTAAGCCTTAGGAGTACCCTAATTAAGTTAATAACAATGTACCTTCCTATATAGTTTAAGTTTAAAAAATTTGGCTCTCAAAAGAAATTTCAATCGTTGTACTGTTGATATTTGGCTCTGTTGACTAATGAGTTTGCCGACCACTGATCTAGACTCACAGATGAGTGGCAACTGTGTGCATTAAGGCTGGATGAATGGTTCAGTTGTGCTGTTGCAGTGTGAAAGCAGCTGTAGACAACAGTAATGATGAGCACGGTTTTTGAACACAAGCTTTTCCAGTAGTGCTGACCACAGTTACCTTTGACCCTGACTTTTCTGACACTCTGCCTCTCTGGCTTCCCACAGGATGAGGGCGAGGACCCCTGGTATCACAAAGTGTGCAAGTGTGATTGCCAAGGAGGTGCCAATACCTTGTGGTCTGCGGGCACCAACTCCTTAGACTGCATACCAGGTGAGTGAGTATCCCCTCTCCTTGGGGCACCAGACCGTTGGGTTGTCCTTGGGAACATCCTGTTTCTCCTTTCTTTCAACCCAGCTGAATTAAACCCCTGAATGCCACACTCTCAGTTTTCTCTAATTGGCCTCTGAGCTTCAAATGTCACATGGCCACTGATCCACTAAACCAGTGGTTCTCAACCTTCTGGCCCTTTAAATACAGTTCCTCATGTTGTGACCGAACCATAAAATTATTTTCGTTGCTACTTCATAACTGTAATATTGCTACTGTTATGAATCGTAATGTAAATATCTGATATGCAGGATGGTCTTAGGTGACCCCTGTGAAAGGGTCGTTTGACCACCAAAGGGGTCACGACCTACAGGTTGAGAACCACTGCACTAAACTGATCTGATGTCCTTCTTAAAGATGGAACCCTTTGAAAGAGATTAATGGATAATTAATTGAAATTAAATTAATGGTAGGTGGCAGGGAGTTTTAAGAACAGCTTAGGCTTTTGAGCCAGAAAGATTAGAGTTGGAGTCCTGGCTGTGTCACTTATTAACTCTGGGACTCCCACTTTGCCCTATTTCTATCAAGCGGAGGCAACACTTTTATAGGAGAAAAATATGTTTCATCTTCCCCTGTTGTTAGTGGGAGTGGGATTCTTGGGGTACCTCTGGAAGGAGCATTTCTAGAGGGCCCCACGGGAGGATGAGATATGGTAGAAAACTTTATTTCCATGGAATTATACCCCTTTCCAAAGTCCAATTTCCCTTAGTCCAGTCATAGAAGAAGTTTAGCTGGGGTTTCAGTAGAGCAAAAATCAGAGCCAGTGTCCAGAATTTCCTTTCCACGTTGGAGCAGAGTCCAGTTCAGTAATGGACTTACAATCCATTAGTCCATTTTGTGTGGGGTCCCATGGTTGTGGGCCATGTGGGCAAATGCAGGGAAGCAGGAGCAAAAGAGCCTCACAAGCCCAGAGTCACAGGAATCCCAAGAGAGCCAAGAGGGGGAACTTATTTGTTTAGGAGATTATGTATCCCAAATCTTCATGCCCTTGCAGTAGCCACACCCATTCTGGCTGACCAACTCTATCCCCAGGTGTGATTGACAGCAAGCACCTTCACTAGGCCCTCCAACTTTAGTGGGCATGCATCTATCTTCTCTTTGTTGGATCCTTGGGGAGTGTAAACTTGCAGCTTCCTGGTGAAGCTGCCCAAATGACATGCCTATAATATCTGGCCTTCCCTTTATTCCTTTCCTATCTATACTAATAAAAGGGTAATGTGCTAATTAGACCAGATGGACCATGCATCTTCCGGACATCCTTCCAGACAAAGCCATGGCGGCTGCGAGGGCTGAGGAGGGCCTGCAGCCAGCAATGGCGGCAGCAGCAGGGTGATGGGGGCAGCACCTTCCCCTGATCAGCCCAGTCACCTCCTGCAGAGGGAGGCCAGAGGCAGCAGCAGCGGCGGGGTGATGGGGGTAGCGCCTTCACCTGATCGGCTTGGTTGCCTCCCACAGAGGGAGCAGGCCTAAGCCATCAGTAGGACATTCCCTGAAGGCTCCTGGACTGTGAGAAGAGGCAGGCCGGGCTGAGGGAACCCCCCCCCAGTGCATGAATTTTCGTGCACCAGGCCTCTAATCCTATATAACAAAAGGCTAATATGCAAATTGACCAAACAGCAGAACGATCGGTTGCTATGATGCACATTGACCACCAGGGGGCAGACGCTCAATGCAGAAGCTGTCCCTTGGTGGTTAGTGCGCTCCCATAGGGGGAGCACCTCTCAGCCAGAAGCCGGGCTCACAGCTGGTGAATGCAGCAGCGGTGTCTGGAGCCTCTCTCGCCTCTGTGGCAGTGCTAAAAACCTCTCAGGGGGTCCCAGATTGTGAGAGGGCACAGGCCGGGCTGAGGGACCCCCCACCCCCTCAGTGCACGAATGTCATGCACTGGGCCTCCAGTTATTAATAACTAGTTAATTACAATGGTATCAATGCTACTGTGCCTAGATAGCCATTGCTGACCAAACAGCAATGTACTTCCCCACATTCCAGCTCCCCCACCCCCTCCCCACAATCAGTGCCTTCATATTAGCACTTCCCGCCCAAGTGAGCAGTGTCCTTCCAAAATGAGGCATTTAAGGGTCGCTGGTCCTCAACTCTCCAGCTCTCCATCTTCCTGCTTGAGAAAATGGCTTGTCCCTCAGCCTGGGTGCCCAGGAAATTCTGTGGAGCAGAACCCCTGCCCACCCACAATGACTCAGTCACCTGAGTGAAAAATAAATCTTTGTTGTATTAACCCTCTGAAATTTCTGGACGGTTTGTTTTGCAGCATAACATGACCTTTCCTGACTAATGTGACTGCCTACCTTCCTCTTAGGCAGGGGCCAGCAAACTTTGTCTATAAAGGACCAGACAATAAGTATTTACGGCTTTGTGGGTCGTCGTGCCTTCTCAACTCCTCAATTCTGCCATTGTTGCTCACAAAGCATCCATAGACAACATGTAAATGCATGTGCATGGCTGTGTGCCAATAAAACTTTATTTACAAAACATGCAGTGCACAATATTTGGCCAAAGGTCCATAGTTTGTGGGCCCCTGCTCCAAGAAGTTGTTATGAGGAATAACTCGGATGAGGCATTACAGCACTTTATGCTGTACTTGGCAAATTGGAGCTCCTTTTCTTCCTGCCTTCTAAGAGCTCACACTCTGGCTTTCAGAGGCTGAGGTGGCCCGCAAATATTTGCAATGCTCAGTCCTTTCCAGGCTCAGAGCCTCTTTGGAATGAAACTGTCCTTGCCACCCCTCTCCAGGGTTACAGAGCGCCTGTAACGTCATCCACTTTACATAATCGCCTAATAATAGCTCCGGGAGAGACAGGTTTGTGTGTGTGCCTGTGAGCTTCTCTTCATTATTTCATTAAATTTGCATTAAAATAGCAAATTGTGGGGGAGAGAAGGAAGGAGTCTACAATGGCTTTTACTGCCTCCGTTTTCCTATTTACTAAGTCTTAAAAGGGAACAGTGGGGTCCCTATAGTGAGGAAAGCAGTATGTGCTGTTTAGCTCAGTGGGCTTCTCCCATTGGACCAGAGCTCCTGCAGCCATTATGTGTTGGTATGATCTGCCCAGTCAATACTGATGCACCCTCATTAATAATCCGCCCCCTTTTATCATGTGCCTATTATGTGCCAGATACTGATGGGGAGACAAAAATGAAGGCATTGTCTCCATCCTGGAGGAGTTTACCATTTGTGAAAACAAATGTTCTCTTCACTAGAGACAGGAGGCTACTGGAATTCCATTCCGAGGAAGTTCTTTCTAAGAAGAAATTGAAAAGAGATTATTTATGCAGGTTGGATTCATTGACCTAATCAACTGTGAAGCTGAGGAGGGCCTTGTGTTTGAGGAATGTGAAGACAACCGGTCCCTAAAGCTATCTCCCCTACACAGTCATGAACTGGAAGTTCTGAAATCAGAAATTCTTTAGCTTACCTATTCTTTCCCCGCTGTTTTTGTTTGTTTTCTTTTGGTTTTTATAACAACACAGATATTTCCAAGAAAGAAAACACACAACCTTGGTGTTAAATGCTTGATTCATTGGTGTTAATTAGCTTTTCCATGAAAGTCATGTTTCAGGGCAGCAGGACTACAAGCTTCCAGAAGTCAGTTGCCCATCAGTGCCTCAGATCCTTATTAGAACTTCGGTAATGATGTTGGAGTCTCTGGCCTCTATGATTCAAGGCTTTCTGCACACTCCAATTTAGGGAGGAAGAAGAGCCTATAAAGCACAGGAGGACAGGAATGTCATTCATAGCTGCCAAAATGGAGCTCCCAGATGCACACTGGTTCTTACTGCCCAGGGGCCCCACCCATAGAGCAGAAGGCTAGGTGCATTGTGGCCTCCTAATCTTCATCTTAACACTATTAAAGATACTCAAAGGTCTGTCTTTTCCACCATTGAGTCAAGATTACCTGGGCACTCTGAGATGCAGGAATAGCGTAGGGAAGGTGTCAAAGTATAAGAAATCCAATGACTCAATGCTTTACATGTATTCCAGATTCTATATTTCTATATTATATTCAAATTTATATTCTATTCTTCTGTAAATATTCTTTTATATTCTACTACATTGTCAGAAATATTCAAATCTAATACCCATGCATAATAATATTCACATCTTTCTTGACAAGAATGTCCCTCAGCTCTCTTTGTGTCCCTTTAGGTGAACATCTTTTATAAGCATGTCTGGCCTGAATGCCTACAGATTGAGAAATTATCTACTCAATAAGAAAAGCTAGTATGCTACATATCCATAGTCTGGATTAGCAGCACAATGTGACTATGCCTTTATCCATCTAAGTATCACATCAGTGCTCATAAGAGCCATTTGTGCCACAAACGATTCGGGTTTCTCCTTAAGAGTAAAATTAGTATAGACATAGGCCACTGGGACTTCTGGGTCAGTTAATTTCTACTTTCTCCCTGAGCTCACTGCTTCCTGTTTCTGCAATTTTCTCTGCTTATTCCCAGTGGCCACCCAAGAGGGGGATGATGATGTTTGTTCATCCATCCATCCTTCATCCATCCATCTGATCAATATCTATGCAGTACCTACATGTGCAGGCATTCTGCAGGGCTCAGAGGACAGAATGGTGAGAAAGACCAACTGGGCTGCTGACGATTAAATAATCACAGGAAGAGGGACAAGTGACAGGTGTAGAGTGCCTGGGAGTACCTAGAATCCTTTACCTACCTCATGGTGGGCAGAGATCTGAAGGATGAGTAGAGGTGAAGGGGGAAAAAGAGGGTAGGAATGTCATAGGCAGAGGGAACAGCCTCAAAGGAAGGCCTTCAGGCCTGCAGGAGGACCTGAAGGCAGCTCAGCCAGGACTATGGAAGGAGGAGGAGGAGGGCAAAGGAGGAGTCAGGAAAAATAATAAAGAAACTGTACTACAGTTCACTCCACAGCACAAAGAGCACAAGGAATGTTACATTTTCTATTTTACCAAGTTCAGATAATCCTAGTTTGAGTCCCCTCTTGTCATGGCCTGCGAAGAATCTAAAGAAAGGATTCTAGAAGGTCCTTTCTCTCCCCTTTGGACTACATGAACCCATACCACGGGCTTGCAAGGGCTGCCTGGGTCCAGGCTAAGTAGTAGGCTCTCTGCCCGGCCCACAGCCCCACTCCAAGGTCAACAGCTTCCCCTCTGAACCAAACTCAGTCCTGGGGACCTTTCCAAGTTTCCTGAAGCTGTCCAGAGCTCAGGGCTCCCAGGCCCCATCCCTGGTCCAGCCTCATCAGAGGCAGCATTTCCAGGCTAAGCTCAGGCCCTTACCATGAGCCCCCACGACCTGACCTAACTTAGCAAGAATCAAAGCCCAGAGCTCCTGGCCATTTCCTCCTCTGGGAAAATCAGCTGATTCCTTTTGAGGCCTAGACCTTCCAAATCTATAAGCCTGGGAGATGCTATGTTGCCAACAGGCTTCTTTCTCAAGTCACACACACACACACACACACACACACACACACACACACACACACACAGAGAGAGAGAGAGAGAGAGAGAGAGAGAGAGAGAGAGAGAGAGAGATGTGCACATTGCTTATTCCATCCTGAAGCTGGCCTCTTTCTTAGAGATGATGGGAGCAGGACAGTGTGGAATAGGGGGCTGTTAGATTTCTTCCCTAGAGACTCTTCATCAGAAAAACAAACACGCCAAACTCAAGAAGACATGACTATATTCTCACAATTTCATCCCATCCTACCAATATGAGCTGCTGCTTTTTGGCCAGGCACTATGGGCTTTACACTTTACAAACATTATTTCACATAATCCCACAGCAACTTTGTGGAGGCTGGTTCTACTGTTGTGTTCCTTTCATAGACAAGGAAACTGAAGCAGAGACATTAGCAGCTTGCCTAAACTCACAGAGGGAGAGTAGAATTCAATTCCAGGTTGCACTGGCTCTAAACTGGCAATCTTGACCTTGGCTGCCCATTACAATGACCTGCACTTTTACCCCATGCCCAGGTCCTGCCCCAGACCAATGACATCAGACTCTCTGGGGGTCTGGCCCAAACACCAGCACTTCTGCAACTCCCCAGGTGAATCACAGGCTGAGACCCATCAGAGAGTCTCTGCTCTGTGCCCTGGGCCAAACCACCCAGTTTCTGGGTTAGCAGCTGAGTAGTTGGAGGCATCAAAGGCTGAGACAGGAGCACTGGACAGCAGCAGGCTTGGGGCTTGCATGCTGAAGGGCTCAGTTTGGGCTATATGGATATGAAGTATCTTTGGGTCACACAGATGGAACTATTCACCTGGAAAATATTCATAGGGCCTGGGAGTCAGGCTTTGGCTCCCAGATGCCTGCTGAAACCATGGGAATGGTGAAATCATTGCTCCCCCTGGAGAATGTGGGCAAGATCCATGTCTGGACAAGTCTTCACAGGCCTCCAAGGCCACTGCCTCTGGCCAGGTCCCTGCATGTCTACAGCCCACACTCTTAACTGTTAGATGGGGAATTGGGAAGAAATGGCAAAAGATATGAGGGGAAACAGAGAAAGATAAAAATGCTAAGAATAAAGTTCTTGGAGAGGTGGCTATGGTTTTTCCTTCCCCTCTGCTCCCTCCCTCCAAGTTGGTGGCCCTGGAGTAAGAAAAGGGAGGTTTCTTCTGGATACAGGGGAGTTAGAGATATCCACAGTTAGAATTTAAGTAACCACAAAGGCCCAACTGAAAGCCAGCTTTCTAACACTGGAGCCTTGTCCCTCTATCTGGTGGCCCAAGTTTGTCTTCCTGGTTGGAGGCGGGTGGAGGAGGTGGAGGAGCCCTCAAGGCCATGGGCACTAGGCCCATGAATCCACCAGCCAACAAAATGCCTTCTATGGTAGGCTAAGGCTTCCACAGTGCACTTTGATAGTGTGCTTGTTAAAAATTGGCCACTCTGGGAGTGAAATCCTGGAAACTGCATTCTTAAGAAGATCCCTTGATGATTTGGACACACAAGGCATGAGCGTGTAGCCCATAAAGTGTTCCTGTTCCCTCTCCCAGGAATTGACATTTTAATAGGCCCCTGAAGCCTTGGGTACTTGATCAACTACAAATACTATACCTTCACCCCCAGCCCCACTGAGCTGCAGCTACTGGTGGGAGTTGGACTTATTTTTTGGTGCATTGGGTAGAAAGGCTCTTACCCCCATCCCCCACCCCCAGGGGCTTAAAGCTGTTCTGTTGTCTACAGCCTCTGGAGGCAGGGCTGAAGATATTCTGGAGCCTCAGGATGGCAATCAAGCTTTTTCATGCTTCATTCAGTTTCACTGACTTCTGAAAATTATTCTCTAGAAAGAACTCAGCTCTCATTTACTATGTAAGATGATGATGCCCCAGGAAATATATTCAGCTCTTCAATATGAACCCAAACTTACACATGGAAAAATAATTTGATTTACCTTACTGAAGTTTATCACTCACAATCAGAAAACTAGGAGAATGTATTTGCATAAGCTTATTTATTTCCTACTAGTGACCTGGTACATGGATTCGTGCACATTGAAAGGAAATTAATTAGAAGGTGGCCTGCTGGGCAGGACTGGGCAAGATGGGCTGGACATGCCCTGGAGCCAACCTCCCACTGGAGCCAGCCTCCCGTGGTCCCTCCCTGGTCTGCCGCACCTGGGGTGGCACCGGGGCTCAAAGGGCATCTGCAGAGTGAGTGGGGTCCCTCCAGCAGTTGGGGTCCCTTGGCCTGGCCTGTGAGGATCAGGCCAAAACTGGCTCTCCGACATCCCCTGAAGGGTCCGGGAGTGTGAGAGGGCACTCTGCAAAGTTGCTGTTGTAGAGGGTGTGGAACGCAAATGCAAGTGTGCAGTAATCCAGATTTGGGGCTGATAGCACCCCAGCAACAACATAACCCATGGTCAAAGGTGGAATCGCACAGCCCTGCAAGGAATTGGGCTCCCTTCTCTCTGGTTCTGGGGTGCATCACCCAAGAACCGCCACTGTCAAGTCACTGCAGCTTGGCAGCTCTTGCATTGAGCATCTGCCCCCTGGTGGTCAGTGTGCATCATACCTACCAGCTGGTCAGGTGGTTGCTTAGCCTTTTATATATATAGATAGGAATTCGGTAGAAACTGGGTTTGGTTATAAATAAGAGGCCCACTAAATAGTGGGTTATTGAATTAGCTTTGTTTTGACTGACATGGTAAAAAGACTAGGGGTAGGGATTTGCTTAAGGATAACAGGGCTGAGGTCTCTGCCATTCTCTTGGACTTACCCCATGGTGCAAGATGGCTACTGTTGCACCAGCCATTAAGTCTTGCTTCTAGGCACCAGTTAGAAAGAAGGGGCAAGCAAAACCTTACCAGAAATCCCCAGCAAACATCCTTTTATATCTCAATGGTCAGAAATTGTATCACATGACTTCTAACTGCAAGAAAGGCTGAGAAAGATTATTTTTGTAGCTGGCTACATTGCTGTCCCCAACAAAATTAAGGTTCTTTAGTGAAAAAGAAGGGGAGAATGGATACTTGGATGGCAATTGGCAATCTCTGACCAGGTAAACCAACACTAAATGTGAGAGGAAAATACATGAGAAACAGCAGATAATTAACATATAAGAACGTGCTTTGGCTATTCTTATTTGAGAAAAGCAGTTCCTTCCTACTGTTCTTTATGTGAAATTCACTCAAGCACATTTCACCTTTTTTCCCTCCATTAGACTAGTGAGACAACTGCAATTTACAAGGGGGAACTCAGTCTCAATATATAATTGCCTTCCTGCCTCTCACCATTGTTTTTTTCCTTATAATGGCCATCATATGCTGCCCAAGGATAATTAGGGACCCTGATGTCATCAGACAGGATGGCTGATGTATTAATGAGGAAAATAAAGAGTATGGCATTTAAGTATGACATTTCGCTGCAAACCTCTTGGTTTTTAGGTCTGTATGTTTGTGAAGGAGGTGAAGTATTTCTCAAAACTACTCCCAACCACTGCCATGCTTTTACGAATGTCCTGAATCTCTATAGCAATTCCTTTACTTCATCTTCAGATGGGATGGTCTGATTTGTCATTTCGGTCTGTTTGTTGAGTATTGTGATGCAATCTGAATGTTTTGATGGGCATTGTTTTTCCTTTCCCAGAATGCCCCTATCATAAACCCCTGGGTTTCGAGTCAGGAGAGGTTACACCAGACCAGATCACCTGCTCCAACCCGGAGCAGTACATGGGCTGGTATTCGTCGTGGACTGCCAACAAGGCCCGGCTCAACAGTCAAGGTTTTGGGTAAGCAGGGCTGGCAGCTCAACTGATTTTTTATGTGATTTGAAAAAGTAGGTCTCTGTAATAAATGAGTGAAACAAAATGCATTTAGTTATTCAACAAACATTGATTGAATGCCACAGACTGTGGATAGAGCACTGAACAAGGTGGATGAGGTCCTGGCCTTTAAGAAGCACACAGTTTAGAGGGGGAGAGGGATTCTAAGCACATAATCACACAAGTGATCACTTAGGAAGTGTGATGAGTGCTGTGGAGGAGACAGAAGAGAAACACCTGGTCCATTTGAAGCCCTAGGGAAGAGCTTTCTAAGGAAAATATATTTAACCTGTGACTTATAGTTGGCCAGGTGAGGGGGTGGGCACAGGATACAGCAGGTATAAAGGCCATCAGTAAAGACCACTTAAGGGCATGGATAGGGACTGCAAAGAAGGCCAGCAAGGTTAGAGCACAGGCAAGGCAAAGTTGGAGAGGCAGACAGAAATCAGATCACGCAGGTCCTTTTAAATCATGCTAAAGAGTGTGGTCCTCACTTTAGGGATAATGGGAGGATCCTGAATGTGCATTAGTTAGAATGCAGGTTTGTGCTGCTGTAACAAAGAACCCCAAAGTACAGAGACTTAGTGTAGAGGTGTGTCTCCTGCTCATCTAAAAGTTTCATTAGGCGGTCTAAGGTTCTTATGGCATCTGGGTGCTATCAGGGGTCCAGATTCTTTCTACCTTGTTGTTCTGTCATCCTTAACATGAAGCTTCCCATCTTGGAAGCTAGCTCCTCTAGCTCCCACTGTCACATCCACATTCTAGTCAATAGAGAGAAAAGGAGAGCAGAGCACACACACTTTTCCTTTAAGGATTCAGACAACCCTATTGGCCACTTCTGCCCATATCCCATTGACCAAAATTTAGTCTGATGGCCCCACCTAGCTTCAAGAAATACTAAGAAATGTGATCTTTGTTTGGTGGCCATTTGCCCAGATAAAATTCAGGGGTTCTATTACCAAAGGGAGAGGGGAAGAGGCTATTGGGAGACAATTAGCAGACTCAGAGAAATTTGAAGTTGGGGAGTATCACAATCAGATTTGTGTTAAGAAAAAAAAATCTTCTGCCTGGCCAGTGTGGCTCAATGGTTGAGCATCGAACTATGAACCAGGAGGTCATGGTTCGATTCTCGGTCAGGGCACATGCCTGGGCTGCAGGCTTGATCTCCAGTGTGGGGCGTGTGGGAGGTGGCTGATCAATGGTTCTCTCTCATCATTGATGTTTCTATCTCTCCATCTCCCTTCCTCTCTGAAATAAAAATATATTTTAAAAAAGAAAATAAAAAAAATCTTCTGGCTCCTGTAGGGAGAGCTGTGTAGTTTGGGGACAAGGGTAATCCAGGGAGACTAATGAAGCTATGGTGGCAGTCCAGGCCACAATTGAGGGCTAGTGTGGTGGCAGTGAAATGGAGAGAAGTATATGACTGACAAACACTTGGAGATGGAGCCGATAGATGGATTGGCTGTTTGAGGTGACAGAAAGGAAGGGGTCAAGGATGGCTCTCAGGTTGCTGGCATGAAGACCTGGAAAGACAGGGGTTGCATTCAGAGAGATGTGTAGCACTGAAGGAGGGGTTCGGGTGGGGATAATTCATAACTCACTTTTGGACTTGTTTCATTTGAGATGCTCTGGCATCCGGGAGAGGTTGACTAGCTAGCAATTGGTTCTCAGGATTTGGAATTTAGAAAAGGTTTGGGGTGGAAGTAGAAAGTCAGAGCCACCTGAGGAGCAAGTCTGGAATTAGAAGAGAAAGCAACCAAGGACTGAGTTCTGAGAAGCTAATTAATACGCAATAAAAAATGGGGGAGCTATAGGTTTCCACAATTTATGAGGGATAAAGCTAAAAAAACAAATCAGTTCCTCAAGGTTGGTTAGCTTGTAACTGTCAAAAGCCCTCCCAAAGCCACTCATCTCACTGTTCTGCACATCATAGACACTCCCTAAAAGCCACGCATGACAGCACACGAAGGAGATGCAGATATGTATGAAGGGAGTGATGAGTGGTATTAAAGAAAAACAAAAGATTCATGGTGAAAGAAACATCGGGAGAGACTAATGAAAAGGGAAGAGGGCTGATGGGTGCAATAACCATGCATTGAAGAAAGACATGCTCAACCACGCCCCAAAGATAATTTCAGCTCCATTTGAAGGCATTTCTTTGACAAATTAGTTGAATCTGACAATTTTTACTTGGGTGGTAGAGGTGCAAGGAGAAAGAGGATGTCACAGAGGCTGGGCACGTCTTAGAGACAAGCCTCTGGGTGCTTCACAGATTGTAGCTCAACCCAAGCTTAGCAGGAGAGGGGGCTCTTCAGGCATCTCCTCAAAAGTCAATGTTTCCAGGCTCTTTGGAGGCACTCACAGGGAAAGCTCCTGCTGATTCTGTGTGTCCCTGGCAGGTGTGCCTGGCTCTCCAAGTTCCAGGACAGCAGCCAGTGGTTACAGATAGATCTGAAGGAGGTCAAGGTGATTTCAGGGATCCTCACCCAGGGTCGCTGTGACATCGATGAGTGGATGACCAAATACAGTGTGCAGTACAGGACCGATGAGAGCCTGAACTGGATTTACTATAAGGACCAGACCGGAAACAACCGGGTAAGTCAGGCCTACCCCAGATCACCTTAGCGCACACTCTCTGGGACTCTCTTCTTTGCTGTCTTCCTGTGTTCCCGTCGCCGCCCTCTGTCAGAGCACTGACCCCAAGGCAGGTGTCTTTCTTGTTATAACCCTGGTGCCTAGTAGATTGTCTGCAAATTAGTGTCACTCTTGCATGCAGAAGAAATCTTTGAATTCTCATACCATCATATAGTTGCTTGAATAATCAAAGCCAACTATCTGGGCTATTCCAAACTCATTGGATTGTTTAACACTTTGCTGCATAGGTCTGACATGATCCATTACTGATGCAGGTAGGTCCTGTTCCATTGATGTAGATATGGCTCCTCCTTACTACTGATTGAGACCTACAGCTGGGAAGCTCTGGACAACCCAGCAAGTTAGCCACTAAACTACAGTAATGTTTAAAACGACTCCAGCTATGCAGACAAAGAGGCCCTTAAACTTCTATATGCCACTAACCACTGAGCACCAAGACCCAACTCTTGTTCATCATAGACTGAACACAAGTCTATCTATCTACCTATCTATCTCTACCTATATCTATCTATCTATCTATCTATCTATAATGTATATTTATGAGAAACTAAAAATTTACTAGCTATTTGGAAATACTAACTGCCCTTTTGCCTGTGAGGACTTCTCCCAGTTAATTTGGACATTTAACCACATTAAATAGACATGTGCAGCTGAAATCAGAAGGCTTTGTACTCTCTGATGCCAATTTGTATAGCAAGAACATTCATGGGTTGAGATTTTAAGGAGTTTGAACATAATAGGTAAAACCAGCTTGATACTTGGACATTTTGTTCCAATTTTGTTCTTATTGGCTTTTCAAAAAGATTTGGGAATTCTTTTCAAGCACTGTGCTTCTGAAGGCCTTGAGGTTCTTTGCAAAGTGCCCGTTGGGTACTTGTGCAATCTGGAAGAGCCTGTTCCATCCTCCCTCTGCACCTGGCTGCTGCCTTGAATAGGTTCAAGGGCAAATAGGGTAGATAAGGGGATGTGGGGCATTATTATTGGGAAGAAGGGTAAGATAATGCATATGAGGTCCTTCTTGTTTTGTGGATGGATGAGGTCAATTTTTTTCTGAAGATAACACCAGAAGGGAATGAAATGTTCTGGTGACATCGGGCAGAACACTATGACTCTGGAAAGATTGAAAAGAATAATTTCTTTGGAAATACAGCCAAACATCCACTGCACCTTTTATGCTTCACCCACCGCATCATGCCATATTATATCCTGAAAACCACAAAACAAACCCTTTATCTCTATTCTCTGGGCACTGCCCTCCTCCTTGCAAATCTTCCTTCTAGTTTGTTTTTTTCTTTTAAAAAAACATTCCCAAGTGTAGAAAGTCCTTGCTATTTGTATCGATGTAGAGACACACCATTAAGCTTTAGCTCATGACTCACGACTGCAGAGCCAGCTCACAAGCTTTTACTTGAGTCCCACTTTGGATACCTTTGGAACATGGGAACATTCCTCTTGTGTGATGTGGGCCTTTTCAAAATTCCTGTCAAAATGCAAAGAATTAAAACGCAAAATCAAGAGGCAATTTTTAAAATAAGCGCCATCCAAACGAACTCTGTGAGATGATGGAAATGTTAATATCTGCACTGTCCAATATGACCTCCACTAACCATATCAGCTATTGAGCACTTGAGTTGCGCCTGGGTGCTATGATCGACGAAGTGAATTGCTATCTAATTTGAAGTCCTTTAAATTTAAAGAGCCACATGTAGCTACTGGCTACCATACTGGACAGTGCAGTTCTAGATGTCTCCAGACTCAGAGAGGTCTGGAGCGAATAGGTGCTAACAACCAGTCAAGATCAGATTTTGTGGGGCATCTGCAAATTCTCTGTACTTTCAGCACTTTCTGAGACTTTCCAGTTACAAATTGGGGCCAGCTCCAGACAGGAATCAGTCTTCCTTTTCCCTCCCTGGCTGTGATGGAGACAGGATTTCACCCCTTTCTTTAGGTCTTCTATGGAAACTCGGACAGAACTTCCACAGTCCAGAACCTGCTGCGGCCGCCCATCATTTCCCGCTTCATCCGGCTGATCCCGCTGGGCTGGCACGTCCGCATTGCCATCCGGATGGAGCTGCTGGAATGTGCCAGCAAGTGTGCCTGACACCTGCGAGCCGGGCGCCTGCAGGGTTGGGGGGTGCAGAGTGGCCCACGGAGACCCTGACACACCCCTGTGACAAGCAAGGTGGCATTTTACAAGTTCTTTTCAATGCAGAGAATGTTTCTTTCTTTCCACTTTTTAAGATATAGTTTCCAATTTAAGTGAGAAAAAAAAGGAAAGAAAAATAAACATTCCCCACTCAGGGCCAAAGAAAATAAGAACAAAGAAAATGTCTCTAGAAACAATTTTCATACAAGAGCTTAAGTAGCAGGGGTAATTGGCTGCTATTTTTTTGTTTTGTTTTGTCACAGCAACACTGTGAAAGGTGGAGTCCCAAGGGAACACAAAGCAGCCCTGATCATTTGAAATTTCTTTTGCTTTATTCAAAACAGGAACATAATGTTTCATAAAGCCTGGCTTTGAATGCAAAGGAGGAGCAAGTGTGAGCTTTCTCTTAAGTTTTGATTAAATCGTGACCATTGAGGACTATAGAGCACCAGGGACACAGAGTGAAAGATTTCAGGGTGACTGGGCGGTGAGATGAGTCCAGTGGGTGTGAGCCTGTGCCCCAGTTTCCTGAGAGCCATACACGACCAAAGGCCGCAGGCAGAAGGGCGTCAGCTGCTGAGCTTTTACCCCCATGTTCACCGGGATTGGGGGGTTCCAGAGCTCCCATTACATACAGCCCATTCAGGCTGCACATGTAAGTAGCAGTTTCATTATTCAGTGGGGCCTTGACTTATGAGTGTCCCGACTAACAAGTTTTTTGAGATACCAGCTGTCTCTCGGCCGATTTTTTGCATTGAGTTGATAGAGTAATTTGAGTTAACGAGCTCCTTAACGAGCTCGGTCTCCGAACGAATTAAACTCGTAAGTCAAGGCCCCACTGTATTTAGGAACGCCAAATGACCAGAACATACCAGCATTTCCCTTTATCTAGGGCTACTGTTTTCAACAAGCTTAACACTTTGAAAACAGTTGGCCCAGGAGCTATCACTGGCTACGTGGAGGAGGCCCATTAGCTGAGCCCATTACCTTTGTAGGAAGCAGTCAGAACCTATGTCCTAAGAAGAGAGATGTGACTACACCCCTGGTGAGCCCACCTTCCAACTTCTGACACCTTGCCTTGCAACACACAAACCTGCCTGTTCCTGACTGCAACCTCCTTGGGAAGGAATGGGTGTGGCCTTCTCCTTCTGGAGAAGCTCCTTAAGCAGGGAGTTTGGGGAAAGACAGTCTAAGACTCCCTTGTCATTTATAGCTCAGTCTGAGTTTTTGGGTTCTTCCCTGGGAAAGGCTAATGACATGGCAGGTGGGCAGGAGAGGATTTGAAAGGAGGAGATGAGAGGGGGTGGAATCAGAGAATGGGGCCCTTCAACAAGACTGGGGAACCTGACTATCCTGGCCCTGATGCAGTACACCCTTTGCTAGCAGCTCATTTCTCCAAGTTACTGTTTTCAAACACCATGCTGAGTGACTGGACTCACACTAACATTATCCTAGACACCACATTCACCTTCTCTGTGAGTGAGCAGCCTCTAAAAATCTTCAATCTCTTCCCTGGTGTCATTGGGCTTAGAGGAGTTTCATATTTAACACAGCCTCTTTCTTCTCCTCATGCTGTATATTTGAACCTGGAAAAACCCTCTTCCCTGCTCTATCTGCTCTCAAATCAATTCACGGTGGGGAAAAATCCTTCTCTGGTCTTAGAACACACAAATAAATGCATTTTGAACAGAACACCTGATTGGATATCCTAACTGGGAAAGTTGAATGAACTTTTATCATGACATGCACTGTCAGAGAAAAGTCTAAGTTCAGGCCCTTTACAACTGGCACTCTGGACCCAGGAGGTAAGTCGAGTCAAGATGAAAAAAGAATGAAATGGTGTGAGGCAGGAATAAAGGTTCTCCAAATGTTCATGTTGAATATTTTTGTTTGGTAATATCTTTATTGAGATAAAGTTCACACACCATACAAATTTCACCCATTTAAAGTGTACAATTCAGTGACTTTTAGTATAGAGTTGAGCAATCATTATCACAATCAATTAAAAAAAATCATCACCCCAAAAAGAAACCCCACACCCATTAGCTATCACCCCACTAACCCACTTGCCCACTCCAGTCACAGGCAACCACTGATCTATTTCTGTCTCTATAGCCAATTCTGGACATTTCTTAGAAATTGAATCTTACACAATATGTGGTCTTTTCTGTCTGGATTCTTTCGCTTAGTGGTGTTTTCAAGGTTCGTTCATGTTGTAGCATATATCATATTTCATTCCTTTTTATGGCAGAATATCATTCCACTATAGAGGTAGACCACATTATATTATCTATTCATTTGTTGATGGACATTTGGATTATTTCCACGTTTTTTGGCTATTTACGAATAATGTTGCTACAATTGTGTACAAGTTTTTGTGTAGTCATGTTTTCATTTATCTTGGGTATATATACGTAGCAGGGGAACTGCTGGGTCATATGATAACCCTGTTTAAACTTCTGAGTAACCATCAGACGATTTTCCAAAGTGGTTATACCATTTTATACTCACACTAGCAGTCTATTAGGGTTCTAATTTCTCTACACTTGTTATTATCTGTCTTTTGGATTATAGCCACCCTGGGGAGTATGAAGTAGTATCTCATTGTGGTTTTGATTTGCATTTCCCCATGACTTATGATGCTAAGCATCTTTTCATGTGTTTACTGGCCCTTGGTACACTTCATTGGAAACATGTCAATTAAGATTCTTCGTCCATTTTAAATTCAGCTGTCTTTTTGAATTGTAAGAGTTTTAAAATTTATTTTGGATACAATTCCCTTATTAGACATATGATCTGAAAATGTTTTCTCATATTCTGTGGATTGGCCTTTTATTTTCTTGATGGAGTCCTTTGAAACACACATTTTAAAATTTTGATGAAATCCAATTTATTTTTCTCTTTAGTTGCTTGTGCTTTGGAGTTTTATCTGGGAAACTATTGCCAACTCCATATCATAAAGATTTACTATGATTCCTTCCAGGAGTTTTATAGTTTTACCTCTTACATTTAGATCTTTGATCCATTTTGAGTTAATTTTTATATATGGTATGAAATAGAGGTCCAACTTCATTGTTTGCATCCTTATGCCAGCACCACACTGTTTTGATTATTGTAGCCCTTGTAGTAAGTTTTGAAATTAGACCATGTGAGTCCTCCAACTTTGTTCTTCTTCAAGATTGTTTTGATTATTCTAAGTCCCTTGAATTTCCATATCAATTTTAGCATCAACTTGTTTTCTACAAAGAAGTCAGCTGAGATTTCACAAGGGAAATTGTTCAATACTTCAGAATTTAATAAACAATGAGATACTGAAATCCGTAAAATGTTTATCTGTAGGTAATTTGTTTACAACAGCATATGATTTTTTACTTCATTGAATTCATGCCAGAATGTATAAAAATAAAACTTTTATTGAGGGACATCTGAAGCCTAGCAGAATTTTGCTACTAAACACATGTACTATGTTTGCAGCATTATTTCTTTTGTGGGGGAAACTTTCAATTAAAAAATATATAGTGTAGCAAAAACTCATTCTATTACCTTATTGTTAACATGTTTACTTTTCTTTTCAGAAATGCTAGTGTAGTCTACACTTGTTGATTTTTTTTAAAATTGTGGTAAAATATACAAAACATATTGCAGATTTAAAAACAGCTAAATTAAATGCTATGAACAGAAAAAGTGGCAGTTACTTTTGCCAAGATAAAGAAAAAGGTCTGAACTGATTTGGGTATTCAGTGAGGGAGGAGGTCACTTGGACATAGCAAAGGTATTTCAAAATAAAAATGGCACTATGAATCTAGTCTCAGAACCTGGAAGATTGCACACCTAAAGTGAGCCTTTGAACAGACACTGCCAGAAGCCTACCTTTTTGACTACCTGCAATTGCTGAGGCCTGCTGACAAATGTACAGCTGTAAGGGCTGTTGTTTCCCCCAGGATCCAAGAGTAGCTCCAAACTATAAGTAACTTCAAGTCACAATGGTTCTTAACCTGGACAGTGTTACAGGGCTGATGTGAAGATCAAATAGGATAAATGTATCTGAAGTGCTTAATGAGCTCTCCATAGCTGGCAATCAAAATTCTGTGACATTCCTTTTCAACTTCATAGGGCTGCTAACTAGGGCACAAATACTAGCAACAATGTTGAGAATCTACCAAGTGCTTTGCAAAGTATCATCTCATCAAATCTTCAAAACAACCCTATGAGGTAGGTATCATTCTTATTATTTCCAATTAAAGATAAGGTAACTGAGGCATAGAAAAATTAAGTAATTTACTTAAAGCCGTATAAGATATAGGTTTGCACTCAGGCAAGCAGACTGCAGATCCTGTGCTTTTAACCACTTAACCAGTCTCTGGACCTCTAGTGATATATTTCAAAGAAATGTTATATTCTCAAATCAAATCAATTACCACCTGCTGGGAGATGGGAGGAAAGGTGGTACACGAATCACCAATGTCAGTTTCTATACATGGAGACACAGCACCCGCACTATTTAGTAGTGATGAAGGATGGGCTTTACAGTGAACATACTAAACCCTAAATCCTAGCTGGCTGACCTTGGGCAAGTTAATGTAAAGCCCACAGGCCTCAGTTTCATCATCTACAAAATGGGGATACAACCCATTTCATTGTGTTGCTGTGAAAAGTAAATGTAATTAATAAAAGCAAAACACATGGCATTGTGCCCAGTCATAGTAATATGAAAATTAAAAAAAAATTACAAGCCCCAGATACTCTTTATGTCTTGATAAAAAGTATAACTGAATCACTGGTTTCCATGACTTAAGGAGAAATCTAGAGCAAAGAAGTCGATGACAGTGCTTATAAGAATGTCCTTTGTTTAGGAAGATAAAGAAAGTTGGAGAATAGTTAGATGTGTTATTTCAAAATTTAAGTTCTTTCCTCCCTGATTGAGCATTTACTCATTAGGTCTTCTTATCCTCAGG